TTAAAAATATCACCATGATGTGATCACCAATGTGACATTTACACAAAAGGGCAGTTCCCAGAGGTCACAGGCAATTTTGCACAGAAGCTAACAATGTTGTTTTGGAAGAAGTGTGGAGGGAGCACTGTTTAATATGTAATGTTGTCATAGTCAACAAATAAAACGCAGGAATGGAAGTCATAAAACTTGGTTTCTAGCTCCAACATGACAAGCTAGTCATCAAACTATACAAGCTAGCCAACTGAAAGAAACACTTCTGTGTGTTTCAGTTCCCCTGTCTGTAAAAGAAGGATAATGTAGCTCATGCATCCCTGGGAAGAGTCCATATTGGTAGTTGCTATTTGTTATTATATCCAACAGTCCAACTTCTGGAACAATACCTACTTTCAGAGAATCATTTTGGTGTTTGATTGCACTACAGTGAATTCCCTTCATTGACACAAGGCTCAAAAAATTCCAAAACCCCATGTCATAGGCCTTGGACAGGGATCACTGATTGGACCCTTCATATTTTTGGCAGTGACTCCAAGTACTCAGAGCCAATGAGAGATCACCCACTGAAGGTGTAGCCTTTTATTTAGTCCCACTCACCAACCCAGAATTGGCATGGCTCTCCATCCATGCAGAAGATGCCCATTTGCTTGCATCACCCGTTTCCTCCAAGCACACAAAGCTCAAAACGTTTTAATACTGCACCAGCTTCAGCACCCGCTTCAAGAAGGAAATGATTTCATTCAAACAAACCCAATTCCTTTTCTATCTCTGTCTAAGTGACTGGGAACAGATGGCCCAGCCTACTTGTGCCAGTCACTTTGTTTGCTAGAAGCACTGTCTTGTTTGTTTAGCTTCATTGTTCTCACATCCTTAACTCATCATTACATAAAGGAACCTACAAATGCTCAGTGTTACTGTACTGGGACAATGGGCTGCCTCCTCTGGCAGAAGAGAAAAAAAAATAAACAGAAGGAAGCCACATAAAAGGAACCATATACAATTGTTTCCACCTGGCCTTGTATAGTCTCCAGTCTATTGCACATGGATCCGTATTGGTAGGGCTAACCGGACCTTGTCGTGCATCCACAGGTGCATCTCAAGTAGACCCAGGGAGGTGATCCTCCCCCTCTATGCAGCACTGGTCAGGCTGCAGCTGGAGTACTGCGTCCAGTTCTGTGCGCCCCATTTCAGGAGGGATGTGGACAACACTGAAAGGGTCCAGAGGAGGGCCACCCGCATGATCCGGGGACAACAGGGCAGACCCTACATTGAAAGACTGCGGGACCTAAACCTGTTCAGCCTTCACAAGAGAAGGCTGAGGGGGGACCTGGTGACTGTCTATAAACTCACTAGCGGGGACCAGAAGAGTTTAGGGGAGACACTGTTTCCCCTAGCGCCCCCTGGCATGACAAGGAACAATAGACACAAATTATTAGAGAGTAGGTGTAGATTAGACATCCGCAAGAACTACTTCACAGTTAGGGCGGCTAGGAGCTGGAACCAACTTCCTAGGGACGTGGTGCTGGCTCCTACCCTGGGGATCTTTAAGAAGAGGCTTGATGACTACCTGGCTGGACTCATTTGAGTCCAGTCTTTTCTCCCGCCCAGGCAGGGGCTCGGACTTGAAGATCTACAAGGTCCCTTCTGACCCTACTTCTATGATTCTATGATGCTATGTATTGCTATATCATTCTAAGGTATCTGGGTCTGACTAATCTGTTTTAGCTGTGGGATACTAGGACACACTCCCAGCTTAGCCTTTGGGCTAGGGACAGAAATTACACATAAATCAGTAAAAGTGATCAGAAACTGGTTCAAATCTGTAACACAACAGAAATTCAGTGCACGTATATGGCTTTCAAAAGGGCTGAAACCAGTATAAGATAAACCTGGATGGATGCAGCATCAGACTTAACTGATTTAGGTTAAATTGGTTTATCGAACTTCTGTCCCAGTTCCCTTCCAGATTCAAGTTAACTCATAGCCCCCCCAGGATGCTTTGCATCTCCCCTGCAACATGCCCCCCCTTCTAGGGTGGGCAGGTTAGCCTTGGCCCAAGCAGTTTGCTCCAGCCCAGCAGGGAGGCATGCTCTAGTGCCCCCTGCCATCTGGCCTGGGCCACTGTAGGCATGTGGCTACCTTTCCAGAATCAAAAGAGAATGTCTGTTCACTTGCTTATCAGTTCAATCTGTGATGCTTAGATTAACCTGCAAAGACTGAATAGGTTCAGCCTCAGGCTTTTTGACTGTCTATATTTAACCCTTGACTGCCTCCTTTCCTTGGTGGAGGGGATGCCTCCAAGCAGTTGCCCTCCCCTCTGAACAACAGTATCTGAGACCTCCTGAGTCCCTTCCCACTCAGGGCAGCACCCCGCTCTGAATCATCACCCAGGGCTGGGGCCCCACTGGGCCCTAGATGACCTAGTTTATGCTCCTGCTCTGTATATAGGGAACCATTGTTCCATAGGAGTATGTGAAGAGCAGAAAAACTATTGAAGTCAACAGCCTTCGCTTGCTTGATGGTGGCTCTTAGTGGAGCTCTGCAATGAGGTATTAAACACCTTCTTCAGGTAGGGCCACTCTCTGAGACACTGTGAAGCAGGCTACCCTCGGACAAGTTTAATCTCATGGTCAGCACATATTACAAAATAGGATTCTCAATTTGATAGAGATCTATTCCACATTGAAACCATAGTACCTACCTGTTAAGATAAATGGAATAATAGCACTGTGAACCAGTTACTTTAGCTCTTTCCCCTGGATTTAAAGAGCAGTAGATTCTGCAGGAAAAAATAACTTTAAAATAATAATAAATAGTAATAACTTTAAAATGGGGTGATTCCACAATAGCTAATTTGTTGGCTTGGGGTAAAGCGGTTGATTATCCAACTTAATGAAGGTTTGGGCTACAGGTGAGAGGACAGCCTGAGCTCTTCAGAGTTGGGGCCCAGTATACTATGAACTGAAGCTAAATTCAACTTCGTTATTTTGTTATGGTATCCTGTTGATATATCTGCCTCCTTCATGACAGGGATTGTTCCCTTCACTTTAGATTTGCTACCAGGTCATCATTCCCCCAGTGAAGAACTAATTAAAGAATGCTGTTTCTTCTCTACCAACTACTTCTCCCTTGTGCTAACCTGAGGCAACCTTCACACAGGCCAGAGCACAGCCAAGGGGTTCAGTCAGCATGGTTGACAAAAGACAGGGAGACAAGGGAGCTGATGGGGTATGGGAGTAGGTAGATGTGTTTCTGTGTTGGGGGCAAGAGAACCCCTGAGATACGGGGATCCAGCAGCACCGGTGAGAGCCCCAAGGCATGGGGGTAGGGCAGCAGTGGCAGGATTACCATGCTGCAAGACTTACCCACAACACTCTGGCATTCCTCACCACAGCCAGCAGGACCCTGGACACGGGACCAAGAAAAAAAGCTGGCGCTGGCATAGACACACTTTGTAAGCATGTGCCAGTGCCGATTCACCAGCTGGGGCAGTGAGGCAGCCATAAAAGCCCTGTGCTCTGGTCTGACAGGAAGGAAGTCCCCAGCAGCCAAGGGCAGGCTACAGCCAGAGTGGAGGACCGGAGGAAGACAGTTAGTGGCAACCTCCATGTGTGGGGCTGCCCCCACACATTGTCTCGGCAGAGTCAGTGCACTTACATGAAGTGAAGACCAGGAAGCTCTGCTGTGGAGAGGGCCAAGGGATGACAACAGACCTACAGGACTGAATGAGGACAACAACTGGTAACAACACGGCAGCCGTGCTACATCAAAGTAACAACAGCTTGGCGCTAGATGGGGTGGAGGGGAGGTGGAACCCCCAAGATCCTTGTGCTAACAAGTGACCTTAGTAAGACACCGCTGAGCTGGGAGTAACAGCAACCCCCAAGATCAAAATTTCCATCAAAGACATGGCAGACGAGAAGCAGTGGTGGTCTAGGTAATTAGTGCCGGGGGACAAACTGTTGGCCCGCAGGACCACGGTTAGCTTTGGGTGACTAGAAACACCAAAATGATGAGCACGAGACAGGCATGGCAAGTTACAGCTTCCCTTTATACTGTCCCTATATGCTCCACTCCCACAGATGTCTTGCCTACTGCAGGACTGTTACGCCAAACATCTATAGTTCCCAGCATCTCTATGCCTTACACTTCATCTATTAAAAGGTATACCAGAGGGTATATACAGTTGCTGAATGACTCTGCTATCACCTAGAGATATGCATGCATGCCTGCAGGCTCATTATGCCTTTATTTAAAAAAAAAACCTAACCTTTTAGATGAGAAAGGTGAAATTGTTTCAATAGGAACATTGGAATGATCATGCTGGGTCAGATCCATCGTTCATCCAGTCTAGGGTTGGTCACTGACAGTAGCCAACCCAAAAGCAGAGGAGGTGCATGAGAAACTTGCAATTGGCTTTCCTGGAATATCTTGTCGACAGGGAATGCTGCTTCTTCATCCTCTATTAATTTCAGGTTTTTCTGAAGAATAAGGATTTAACAATAAAACTCTTGAATTTTGTTAGTCCACATTGTTGTAACACTGCATATTTTGCCATCCGATTATTTTCTAAGCCAAAGTTGTCATGCTCTTGATTTTGTGTCAGTGAGTACCACAGATTGATTATGAGATATAGTGCTGCCTTTTAATGATTTCGGTTTCACTGAACGTCCCCTCCCAAAGCTTTGTAAAACAGTGGAGTGTGGCTGATCCAGGGACCCAGTCAGCACATAGAACCACATCTGGCCCACAGGGCTCCTTAGGGGTCTGGAAATTTGCTGGCAGGAAAAGAGACAACAGTGTTAATTGCCATGACTCTGGCAGCATTAATTGCCGTGGCTTCCATCGCTCCCCTGCCACAAAATTTCTGGACCCATGGAAAGCCAGATGACAACTCTATGAGCAGTATCATGGTCACTGCTGTTTTGGGGGATCCCCCCACTGTGAGGCAAAGCCCAGTATGTTTCTTTAGGAACCCTACTGATTCCATTCTCCTTTCTATTCAGGGGGGGAATCCTGGCTCAAGAAGGGACAATCCAATCAACATCAACCACTATGCAACCAAGAAGAGCGTGGCAGAGAGCATGCTGGATGCGGCACTGTTCATGGCCAACGTTACACAGCTCAAAGCAGTGCTGGAACAGGGGCCTTCATTCCAATATTATGCTACCCTGACAGCTCTCATCAGCATCTCTCTCTTCTTCCAAGTGGTGATTGGAATTCTCCTTATCATCATGGGTAAGATAGACTCTGAACTGTGTTCCCTTTTGCTGTCAGCTGAAACCAGGGTCATGACAGGAGGAGTGGGCAGCATTCTTTCTTCATAATAGAAATTCTACCAGATGCATTTCTTCTTCCCCAGTGCTTAGCTAAACTGAACTTAGTTATGAACTTTATTGCTCCTTTACACCTCTGTTTTCTACATTGATGCATCTCTGTAACAAGGAGAACTGTATTTCTGCCATATTCCCACACAGTATCCCTGTTGTGTCACCCTTGTGTTTAACTGCCCCCACACTTGTACATGTCCTGTACATACAACAGGTAATGTCAGCCTCCAGGGTATGAGGCCTCTCACTAACACCTGTCCCAACCATGTGCCTAAGGCTCTTTGCTTGGAAGTTCCTGTTCTGCCAGCACACACACCTTCCTCTTTTCCCAGCACCATCTCTGTTGTACTCTTTGAAGGGGGAGATAGGGAATCCAGCAACTGCTACACGCCTTCAACACCAGCTGTCAAGCCACCTTGTCCAAGGCTCCCATCAGTTGCTGGAACCTGTCAACGAGACACATCAGTTGCTCTCTCATGTGAATCTCCCACTGCACACTCACTCTTCAGCTGTAACGAACTGTTGGTGGAAGGCTGCCTGAGGCCCTTTCTCTGAATTTTTCTTAACACAGACCTTTGCAGCCCTGACCACCCCTTTGCTGTCATGAGGGCAAGATCAGTGAGTGCAGGCTGATCAGTCTCTACCCTTGTCTGCTGTCCTCAATTTTCTCCAGTCCTGTTTGTGCCTACTCTGATCTTGCCTTTGGGGTTTGCAGAGAGGGCTACAGTCTCCAGAGCTGTCTGGATCTCAGCCTGGGGCCTCCATTCAGCTGAATAAATAATGATCTGTGTTTATCAGCCCTTCTTAAACACAAGCCCAGCTCCTGTTTGGTACTGTGAGCCACATTGATATAAAGTGTGCCTATGCCGTAAGCAGCAGTAACTCTCTCTCTCTCTGTCTTTTGGGTAGTGACTCTCAACATTTTTAGAGACTAAAGGCCCCCTCCATCACTTTTCTGAATTTAGCAGCAAAGTATTTCAAAAGGCAACTTCATTCATTTTTTGACTAGGGAAAAATAATAGTGTAATTCTTCTTTTGCAAGGGTCTAGGTAAGGAGTGGACAAAAATGTGGCCCACGAGCCAGATAAGGCCTGCCAAGCCATTCTATCTGGCCCGCGGGGCCCCTTAAAAATTTAGAAAATTAATATTTTTCTGCCCCTGGCTGCCTGTCATGCGGCCCTCGATGGCTTGCCAAAACTCAGTAAGTGGCCCTCCACCCAAAATGATTGCCCACTCCTGGTCTAGGTTGCAGTCATGTTGATCTAAGGACATAGGCAGACAAGGTTCTTTGGGTAAATCTGATATCTTTTATTAAACCAACTCAAATAGCTGGAAAAAATTCTTTGCAAGCTTTCAGGCACAAACACCCTTTGTCAGGCTAAGGAAACATTTGCAGTTTGTCTGTGCTCTTCCTGGATGGGATGAATAGTAAACAAACCAGAGGCTGGTATGCATGCAAAAAAGCCAGTCTGTGACAACATAAATAGGAGTCAATGGGTGAGAGACAGGTTGTGGGGGGGAGGGGGGAATGAATGCAGCTGGTAAATAGTGGAAAGGTACCTGTGGAGTCAGATGTTAGGCAGGTTATAATGTGTCATAAATCCAATGTCTATTTTCAGTCCATGATTTTTTGTGTCCAGCAGACTGATAAAGTGAAGTTCATAGGCTGATCTGTGTGTTGTAAATTCCCTTTGAGGATTAGAACTGAGAGATTGGAGAGAGAGTGGTTTTCTTGTGAGAAATGTGCCCCCACAGGTAACTGGGTATTCTTGTCTTTGATAGATTTCTGGTGTGCGTTCATTTGGGTGCACAGTTGTTGTTTGGTCTCTCCTATGTATTTTCCACCAGGGCATTTGGTGCATTGGATAAGATATATTACATTTGTGGAGGTGCAGCTGTAAGATCCAGGAATGCTGATGGTTCTGTTGTGGGGTATAGTACATATCTTCGCCACCTCGACATTTACTACCTCTCTCCCCCCACCCCAACCCATCTCTCACCCATTGACTCCTATTTACATTGTCACTGACTGGCTTTCTTGCATGCATACTAGCCTCTGGCTTCTTTACTATTCATCCCATCCAGAAAGAGCACAGACCAACTGCAAATGCTTCCTCAGCCTGATGAAGGGTATTTGTGCCTGAAAACTTGCAAAGAAGAATTTTTTCCAGCTTTTTGAGGTGGATGCTACAGCACCCTGGTTGAGAATCACCAATTTGTAGCTTGATAATAAGAGTGGGTACTCAGCGCATTGGAAAAACCAGGCCTTCCTTAGTTAGTTCTCACTGCTCTGACCTCTTAGTTGATTGTAGTGGAGCTACAACCTTTGTAGAATGCATACAACCATTCTCTCAATTCTGAAGGAGTAATTCCTCGGGCAAATGAGAGGCAGGGACCCACCAGTGTGCACTCAGCAGTTGGAGGTCAGGGTTCATTGGGGTCATAAGGCTTTGATTCTCTCTGCTTTGTACCCATCTCATAGCACGGATGAACCTGAATGATGTTTCAAAGCAGCTGCGCCTGAATGTGCTCAACAACACTGCCACAGCTCTGATCTTCATCACAGTCATCCTCAACATCTTCATCACAGCCTTTGGAGTACAGAAGACTGGGCTCTACCCTACCAGGAATTTCAGGAGGCCTTACTGATTCTGGAAAGCAATGGAGTAAGGCACTGAAGGGATAAAATCCCCCCAGCTACTCATCTTTGGGAGGATACCTCTTGTTGTAGTCAAGATTGTTTTGGAAATCATCACTGCATAGTTAATAGGGGGTGGGGGCAGTGGAGCAGCCAGCTTGACACGCATGCAGACACACAAAACAGAAAGTCCTTCTGTGCATATTATTTAGTGGAGAGAGGCTGCCTAGGCTCTGTAATGGGACATCTTGGGAAAGGGAATTTTCTGATTTGGCCTAAGCCAAGAATGCTCTAAATGCACATTTGTGGGATTCCTCAAGTGATGGATAGTAGTAGTCTGTCTACAACAGACTGCAAATACTAGCGTGGATACTCATAATGACTATGGGTTAGGAGTCAGGCAGTGGGAAGGAGGGTGTGGTGGGTCCTGGGGACAGGCTAGGGTACAAAGAACCAGTCAACAGGAAGAGGGATCTGGTCAGGGAACCTATGGGATCTGGTGGGAGATAGGAAAGCAGTGGGAGAAGTACTTTGTCAAAGTGGTCACTGGTACACAGTAGCCCTCTTTGTAAGAATCTGACCCCTGACCTTTATTTTTAGATGAATCACATGAATGAGTCTGGGTTTTCAAATGGCTGTGTGCTTGAATCCAATTAGAACCTTGCATAACTCTTTAAGTCTGGGCAAGAGATAACAGGAGCATAGGACTGGAAGGGGCCTCCAGGGCCACCAAGTCAAGTCCCCAAGGCTAGGGACAGAAGTTACACATAAACCAGTTTAAGTGATCAGAAATTGGTTTAAACCTGTAACAGAACACAAGTCCAGTGCACATAAGCCAGTTTCAAAATGGCTGAAACTGGTTTAAGATTAACCTGGTTGAATGTAGTATTAGACTTAACTGATTTGGGTCAAACTGGTTTCTGGAACTTCTGTCCCAGGCCCCTTCCTGGTTCCAGTTAAATCAGAACCCCCCAGCATCCCAGCATGCTTTTCAGCCCTGGGCTGGGCTGTGCTCCCTAGCCAGAGCTCAGCTGGCTAAGAATGGGATGGGGGACTGCAGGCACAGCAGTGTCTGCCTGACTTCCCCCTTCCCCACCTTCCCCTTATTCACTGCTCAAGAGCAGGGATCCCCCCTCTCCCACAGCAGGGACGCAAGTGTCACGGACCTCAGCCAGCACCTGGCCATGCCACCCCCATGCTAGCTAATGCTCAGAGGTGTCCATGTCTCCAATTTAACTGGAAAAAGGGCAGATAGAATGGTGTCCACTTAGGGCTTTTTGGAACTAATCAACACGTCACTGATAATGTCCCTCCATTGTTCCTTACAAATGCCTTGGAAAAAGCTGTTCAAGAAGAGCTTGAACAAATGAGAGACTTTTGTTTTGTTGATGCGTTGATAAGCTTAGTGTTTTGATAAGCTGCCTGCTGGTTTGCTTCAAAGGCTGCAATTTGTCAATGTTCAAGAGGGGACAGAGAAAGGTGTGAGAAGTTACCTGGTTTGCAAAGAATGCAGTGCCTGTCAGTTTGCTACAGACAGTATGAAGAAGCAGGGAGAGGGAGATTGAAAATCTTAGTATCATCAACACTTGCATGCACTGCATGCAAGCAGTCCTCCCTACTCCCCCGCCCCCTCCTTTTGCCTCAGAGTGCTAGCCAGTGGCCAGGGTCTGGCAACACTCCCCACCCCTTGAGCCATGAAGGGTGGAGGGAAGCCTGGTGATGGCTGCTTTCCCATCCCCCTCCAGGCACTCCCCAGCTGGAGACTGTGCAGGCCAGGGTGGAGGTTAAACCCCTCCCTAATCCTAGTGTCTTGCTGGGGCCTGGCCATACTCCTCCACAGCTGAGCATTATGGAAGTGAAGGGGGGGCTGCTCTAGCTCCCCACCTGGCATCTAGCCTAAGCCACCACAGGCTATGCCAGCATTTCTTAATTCAAATGTCTACCCACTTGCAAATCAATCCAATCTCTACAAGTTAGACTAACCTGCAAAGATCGAATCTATTCAGGCTCAGGCTTTTTGAATGTCTGCCCCTAGCCCAAATGGTTCATACAACTGAGGTTCTACATATACCTCTGTTGTATGACTCTGATCTTCACCAAGAGTGCTGGGCCAGTGACCAGTAGGGAAGACCATAGAAAAATCAAATGGGGTATAGAGTGAGGCAGGAGTTCTGGATTCAGTGCAGAGGGCTGAAATGAGACCACAAGACCTCAATGAGATGATATTGGCTTTGGACGTCAGAAGACTTGTAGGTCTTTTGGACTAAATCCCATGTTGATAAACTAAAGAGATTTCTACAAGGATAGACACCACGAACGACACGTGCCTCTGGCAGCTGCAGGGGCACAGCAGCAGTGAGAGCGTGGTGAGAGCAGCGGTAACATGGAGGCAGCGGCAGGAGCACAGCGGCAGTAACTTGGGAGCTCCCTCAGATGCCACCAGCACTGATGGCGGCAGGGGTGGGGCAAGCACCAACCAGCAGTCGGTGACCACCCGCAGACACCACCAGCAGTGTTGATGGTGGCCAGGGATGATTGCTGACTGCCCGCAGATGCTGCCAGCAGTGTCAACGGCACCTTTTCGTACAGGGTGCATGTGCACCCACAAGTACTCCTGTGAATGACGCTATGAAATGCATGCATTTATGCCAGGTGGGGAGGGCTGGGTTGAGAGAAGCAAACACATGCACAGAGCAGATCAAGGGATCTTCGAGGCATTGCTATGAATTATCTATGCAGCTCTTCCAGAGCCGAGTAATCCTGTGTGCTCTTACCCTGCGTCTTTTGTTTTTCTTGCAGGAAGCTTGCCTGGCAATGAACAGGGAAGGATCCCATCTTCCATTTTATGCTGGCTTCAGCAGAACCCTGCATATCAATGGTGACTGAAAACTCCCCAAGTACTTTAATTATTAAACACATGTCATTTTTATGCAGGCCCTGTTGCAATGCACATACAGCTTTGCAAGACTGAAAACATCCTTAGAGTTTCAAAGCTAGTGAAAATTGTGGAGAGATTTCAGGAGAGGGCTACGCAAAGAACAGCACACATGCCATCTCACTCTCATTTTAGTTCTCTGCTTTCAATATTCAGTCTTAGCTCATTTTCTAAAAAGGACTGAATTCTAAGTTCAATCATTTATTGTGTAAGCTAAGCATCTGTAAATTGTCTGGTTTGTGTGCACCAAGTTTAACATGTAATCCCTGAATTGACACTCAAGATGTCCCAAATGTAGGGTGCATTGTTTATTAGAAAAGAAGCAAGAGGTGTGTGCGTGCTTTACAATAGGTGATGTGAACAATAATATTTGTATGTTTTTAGAAAAATAAATAGTTTTTAATATTAATTTTTATTTGTCTGGAAAACAATTCTTCTGCAGTGTTGGAAACTTCTACTTGCTGCCGTTTTCAGTTATGGTCAAATATCCCTGCAAAGGCCTGTGAGAAGTGCTCTAGGGCAGGAGGGTCAAAGATATGGCCCACGGAGCCACGTGATCTGGCCCCCGGTGCTGCCCGTGGATCTCAGAGCAGCCTATAGGCAGCATGCAAGGCTTGCCAGATAGCCCTACACACCACACACAGCACCTGCTCCAGCTCACATCCTGGAGCAGCCACATGACACGCTGTGGCCCATGCTGAATACAGCATCAGCTCTAGGGCCACACAGCAGTCCTGGAGTGGCTGGAGCAGGAGCAGGAGCAGGACCAGGTCACATGCGGCACCCGGTCTAGCCACTCCAGAACATCCACTGGAATGTGGTCCAGCCTGCAGAGCCAGGCCAGCTCTACACCCCTGCTTTAGGGATAATATGCTGATGGCAAAACACAGAGTGAACCTGGCTACACCTGGCAAGCAAAATAGATCTGCTTGCCCTGTTGGCTGAAGTACCAAAAGTAATATATTCAACTATAAAACAGTACCAGTTCGTGAGTCTGCCCCCAGCACCTGATGCCCCCTGGGGTCTGACCCACTTGCCACACTCTCCAGGCCTGCCCTCACCTCCAGTCTCACACCTGCCACATCTTTGACATTATCAATAGCGTACTGAGGAGACGGTCCCTGGGGGCCAGGAGTAGCTTCTCTGATGGTTTGTTTTTTGACGTAGTCCTTGGGCTTCTCCATCCCAAACTCAGTCCTGGGGTCTATATGCTTTTGTAGGGGTGCTTCCCTTTTAAGGCAATCCCCAGCCACTTTTGGGGGTTTCAGCTTTTCCCTTTTCTTGTGACCGAGCCCTCAGCCCAGGTCCACTGCCTCAGACATAGGCTGAGGCCCAGAAGCTTCTCTCTTCTTTGCCCAAGCCAGGTGTCAGTCTGTAGAGTTCTCCCAAGCACCCAGTTATGGGGCCTCCAGATAGAGTTACCAGCCCTCCAGGATTGCCCTGGAGTCTCCAGAAGTTAGATATAAGTCTCCAGGAGATGCCAAGAATCATGCAGGAAATAAGCGATAGGGCATTCATCAAAATAAATATTGTGCTGAATCTAGTTTATACAGTAACCCAGTGAGTTTTTCAAATGTAACAGTAATGTGCATTTGCCTTCCTGACAAAGTCTACGCACCATAATCCGTAACTGATATATGCAGTCACATTAGCAATCCGAAAACCTCCTGGAATAGATTCAAACAGAGCTGACAACCCTACCTCCAAATCACCAGTGTCCTGAGTCACCAGGTCCCGTCAGCCTACAATCCTCTACCCACTAGTTCCTTCCAGCTTCCCTTGATACCTAGGCTATGCCCCACACCTGAGCAGCTTAGGCTCTAAGCTTACAGTTTCCTTTACAGCAGCTCAGGGCTAGACTAAATCTCTAACTCTGGAGCTAGGCGTTAAGTATACTGGGCTCCATCCCCTAACCTCTGATGGACCCAGGTGTTCCTGTTTAGCCCACCAAGCCTCCCGCTCCTACTGCAGTCTGACCAGCTGTCCTGCATTTGTTCCTTAGCTATCTGCTTGTCAAAGCACAGCCCCTGTGGCTTACTGCAGGGCATCTTGCTCTGAATAACTTTCTGCAGCTCTTTGTATCTGCTGCTGTGCTGCTTACTTTTCTGCAGCCGGCCCCTGCTCAGTTGCCTACACTGCACTGCAGCTCCCCTGATGCTGATCTCTTAATTTCTAAGCAGCAGGGGTTAGGGAAACCCACTACAATAATAATATATATTTTATATGTTGAAGAGTGAATTGGGTTTTAAACTTTTGTTTCACTGATATAATTTAAAGTGTTATCAGTAACAAGAATATTTTTGAAAACATTTTCATCGTGTTAGTGCTGTTAGGAACTCTACTATATTGCAATGAGGTTTTGGCTTAAAGCAATAAGTTGACTTTGTGTTTCTTCAGATTGTTCTGAAACAGCAGATTATTTTGTGCAGGGCAAATTCTTGGACTGCTGTTGTCACACAAAAACTAGATTTTTAAAAATTGGCTGTTGGTTTCATACATAATTACATGTTTTTCTGCTTATTAAATGATTTCTTACTTGGAAAGCAGGGCCAGATTTCAATACAGATGAAATCTGAAATATTTGATAATTAAAAGAAAATTCCTACAAGTACTGGAATTTGCATGTTCCCATCATAGCTAAATAGAAAGGAATAAAAAGGACCCACAAATATTCATGTATTCTCCTTGAAAGAGCTCCTGTGACATACTGACATAGTAATTAAGCCTGTAGGAGACTTGGCTTTGACAAGTGTTATTATTCACTTATAAGCAGAGACAGTCACTTGCATATTTGATATTCCAGACCTTCCAGAAATGTATGGTGATGAATTTTTGTTAAATCAGAGATTTTGGCATTGTTCTGCAGACAGGGCTAAATGATATTGGTGATACGGCTGGAGAGCTGGCTTTGTCACTACACTTGACTCACATTCCCCTTGTTGATCTTTCTACGAATCTCCCTGTATCAAGAGCAGCATGAGGGCTTTGGAAGTCACTGTGCTGTTTGCATTTAAAGATATGCAGAATCTGAATACACTTCACAAGCCAGGTAAGTGCCACAAGCGGGCTGGGATTTGATGCACAGAAGGAACTGTTAATCCATGTGGGACCACAGAGAAGTACATAAAGGAAGGATAAATGAGAAAGCCCTTTGCTTTTAAATCTGTCTATGAATCAGCATTTCATGGTTCAATCTGTGGCCATATCCACAACCTTAATCAACCATTGCTCCGGCTCTTGTTAATTTGCAAATGAAAATGCCATTTACTCAAAGGAGCCTAGGTTCAAACCCTTGACTCTTCTGGGCCAGTTTCTGTACCAGCAAAATGGAGATAAAAACATCTACCTGACAAGAGTACAAAGAGGCTACCTCCATTTATGCTTGGAGACACTTTGATGAGAGAAGCAATGGAAATATAGCAATTTTATTGTGTTCCCAGCCTTGCAGCATTTTGCCTTATAGTTAGGGGTCTTCCCAACTTGAGGAGGCAGGCAGCCAATTTCATGGAGCAATCACAGGGCTGGCTGCCATTTTCATGGGCTTATTGCAGTGGGGTCCCCCTATGCCTGTTTGGCCAAGGGGCCCCAGCAGTGCCGCGCCTCCCTAATGATTGGCAGATGGCTCAAAACTATGTCTTAATTACCCTGATTAAACCCAAGGAAGCCATTATTAAGTGTGGATTAATGGTTTCCCCAGGCTTAATTGAGGTAATTAAGCTGCAGTTTTGGGCCATCACCAACCTAAGCATTCAAACTCAACCTTGCACCTTGGGGCAGACACTAAGCAATGGGTTGGGGGCAGTGCAGCCCCAGCTCCTTCCCCACTATCTGCCCTAAGCCATGCATGCACCCACTCCCAGCCACAGGCCACGCCAGCAATCCATGGACCTAAGTGCAGCTGCTTGCAGCCTCTCTGCTGCCTTCTGAAAGTAGCTCTGTGCCCACTGCTCCAAGATTGCAGGGCTTCCTGTCCTTTTCTTTGCTTGCTGGTAAGTTGGGGGGTTCTAGCAAGCCTGCTAAAATCATGGAACTTGTTGTTTTTCATGGCAAATGCTTGATTTCACATTTTCTGCAAAAAATGTGAACCCACATTTTTCTTAGGTCCCTACCTATAAGATATTGTTTACTGATTCCTCTAAGCATTTTTTTCTCTTAAGCAAAAGGCCTGCAATGGGTATTTCTTAGCAGTAGACATGTGAATAGTTTCCAGACTGTGGTATACATACACACAATAACGTTAGTGACAGGTCAGGTCAGGTTTGTCTGCTACCATAATTGCCAGTAGATGGTACTATCTGTGACAGTTAATGTTGAGTGCTGGGCAGCAGTTAAATAACCTGGCAACCTCTAGGGTACCAATGGCTTTGGGCAGAAGAGCATCTTAAGAGGAGGTATGAGTCTTACCCCTAGCAGGGAAAAAGCCATCAAACCATTTGAGGAACTGAAGTCCACTCCATGATAGGGTAGACTGGACTCTTTAACCCTGGTCAGCAGTCAATCTAGGAGTGAAGCCCCAATAGATGGACAGATGGATAATTTCCTTTGTTCTGGCAGCCAAGCTGGTTCCAAATGTACTGGCACCTGCTTTTCCTTTGGATTAAACTAGCAAGGCTGAGAGGGGGTACACTGGTATGTAGGCCAATTCAGTGTCTCTGTATATACTGCCGAGGCTTTTGCACCTTGGAGAAGTCATTCCAGCTTCATTTTATCTACCAACTTAGTCATCACCTCCCTTCGTTTATATTGTCTTGGCTCTGTACTACCCTGCTCAGACTCCCATAGGTGACAGGGCCAGAGAGAACAAAATAGGCTTTTACTTTTCCATAAACCTTTGCTGTAGAAGAGCTGACCTATGACTTATGAGCTGTCAGATGCTGAGCTTAGCTTGGGGTTCCTTCTTGTAGTTTTCTCTATGAGATGGTGCCTGCTGGCTGAGACAGAGATTGGTCTATCCTCCTCATTATCCATTTTATTGTGTTCTCTACTATGCTTCTAGGTGCTTGAGGTAAGAAATCTATGCTGTCTCTAGGTCTATCCCATTCTCCATGAGAGAAGCCTAGAGAAAAAACAGGCTATTGGTTTGGACGCACAACACCTTTAAACTAGCAGAACCCTGGTATAAGCAAGGAGTGGGTGCACATGCGGTGATAAATCATTGTAACTAACTAAAAACCAGTGTAGTATTACCTTGGCAACAAGCAGGAACAAAACTATGCCCTTGTAAGTTAATCTGTAAGGGTTGTATGTTCATTCAATTCAGGATAGCTGTTTTCTCAATGCAAATAGGCTATTACAGGTGCTCTTGACACTTAGTGGCTAGGTGCTATCATAGCATTTACTGTAGCAGCTTCCCGTGGTTGTCTGGTCCCGGGTTTGGCTTACAACAGTAATCAGCGTACAAACTCAGTGTAAGTTTCACCAATATTAATGTGTTGCATGTCTAGATCCTGTGTCCCCCTAAATTAGTACCTGCTATGCCCATTGTTTGAATGGGGGGGATGTTAATCTGATCCCAACTACCACCTTATGCCTTGGTCATTGCCATCCTCCTGTTGGCTGCGGCAGACAGTGATCTCTGTTCCATTAACAGCATCTTCTTTTGGATGAGACGAGAAGAAACATGTGTCTTATCAGTAGCTGCAGTGTGAGGCTGGCAGGTGTTTGAGGAATGCGCAGATGGAGGCGAGCTTTTGTAGGAAGAAAAAAATGTATTTATAAACCCTGCGGGGTGCCAGTTGATCCCTCTGTCCTAACAGAGGGTGGCCTGGGAATCCTCTTGAAGGCACAAAGCCCCAGTAAGGCATGGAATTTGGAGGTACAGTACAGAACTTAAATACAAGGCATTGGTGGCTGCACCACCTTTCAGACATTCACAAGCAACGAGAGAAAACAACACATTCATACGAGGCAAACACAAAAAGACAGCAACAGAACAGTTACATTATCATAGTCGGACAGAACCCGTTCTCTCCTGGGCCACGTGCTGGGCTGCAAAACAACCACAGTCGCAGAATCCCCCAGGGAGTGAAAAGGGTCCAGTGCCTCCTGGTAATTTCCACAATGGAAACATGACTGATTTTGTAGGGAGAAGCCAACTTCCCTGCTTTGGTAAAGTCAGGTTCCCCATAGCCCTTTGTGTCATCTTTGGGGCACTGTAATTTCCTGAGACTTGCTTCCTGCATGCTAGCAGAGAACTCCACACAGCAGTGGCTCCAATACTAGCTGCTTTCACAGCAACCAGATGGTTTCAAAGCAGTGATTGATCTCAGATTTAGTGTGTCCCGTTCAGGATTCCTGGTGGCCTGGAAAGGACTATGCCTGACCCTATCATCACTGTAGAAAAGCCAGACACCTGCCTGAGCCTTAAGCAATTCCTGCT